ACACTTTTTTCTATGAGAGATACATAGAGAATGTTCAGAAGAAGAAGAAAAAAAACGTTGACCCTTCTGGGCTTGAACTCAGGCCCTAAGTTTTCATGACTTTAACAAATCATCGATTGTCAATACAAACTGCCAAGGGAGGTAGTCACTGTGAGAGGAGTTTGGTCAATCTCTTACACAGTGACCTCCCTTTACCAGTACTTTTAGCCAATTTGAATAGCAGAAGTAATGCATTTGGATGGTCATACCTTAATGCATGTCCTATTGTTTGTTGTTTCTCCACATCAGCTACATAATAATAATGTTATGATTATGTAATATTTATATGTCAATTGATACATGTGCGATTTGTATAAATTGTAGTTTGTAGGCATTTTGTATACAGAATATAATATTGAATTAGATCATACTGTTGTAGTTTTAGCAATGTACCTGGTTATGGTTTGATTTAATGATTTCGAGTGAGAATAAAGACCTCATTTGTTGTCATTATTTATTACTATTAATCTGTTGGGGTTAGACTGTGTATCAGTTTGTGTGATTTTAGTATGGTAACCCTGTCAACAGTTACCTGCATTAATTCTGGACAAGAGGCCTGCAGTTGTTGAGTTTAGGTAACGCACTCATCTGTTACCATCATTTAATATTTGAGGAGTCAGTCTGTTTTGGTTCTGGTATGGTAACTTGGTCAACACTTGTCGTCATAAATATAGAAGACCTAAACTTTGTCGGTTCACACTAGAGTAAACTCCAAATATGGAGAGATAAGGTATTTCTTATAAAAACTGGTGCAAAAACTTCTAAGGGGCAAGCCATTCGGTTAGCTCAAATGGAAGAGCGTTGGATCGATTCCCGGACATGACAGTTCACTGTGATTGTGATTGATAATGAAACCCTTTCTAGTGTCATTCACACTGTACCTCTGCTCTAGCATGTACAGAAGTTATCAGTTCCTTGCTAAAGTGAAGGCAACTAGTGCTAGTAGACAGTTTGACAGCCTGCCCAGGAGAGATATGGTGGCTGAACTGTGCTTTGGTAAATTCAGTGTGACTTATTGCTGTGATCTGGAGTGAAAACTACCAACACCATCTTAGGGGCATTCAGGATTCAAGTTAGATTTTTTTTTTAACTTTAAGCCAGTGCCCCCATTTCATCGTTTAAATCAGCAAAATGCTCAATTTTGCATTAAAGTAGTTGTTTATTAATTTGAATACCATGCAATTTAATTTTTTAAAAGTTTATTATATCAAATGTATATGTATCAAAATTATTTAGGACTTAAAAAATATTTAAGGAAATAACGCTTTCATAAGGTGATTCTGATTGCCTTCACCAACTATACACATATTTCAAAGTCTATAATATTACACAAGATAATAATAATATATGTGCTTGGGATTGACAAATATACATTTCATTTGGATTTTAGGGCATTTGGAGATCTACAACCCAAGTGTCTGTGAGCAGGGCAAGTCCATTAACAGTGTAAAGGAAGATAATTTAAAAAGAAAGAACAAAGCAGTCATAGATAAATAATGATTTTATTTTTGATCCTATGATATACAAAGGCTGTAAGTAGTAAATAATTGAAGCTAAACAGAAAATAAAAAACACTTACACAAAAAAGACAGCATGCTCTACATCTACATAATATATCTGTAACATAAAGCAGTAAACTTTTAACATTGCCTTAAAATTAGCAAACTGGAACTCCACTAGTGAAAGTTTGGGAGTCATTTACTGAATACTCCCTTCATTTTGGCTTGTGACTCCCAAAATAAAATGCTTTTCCGTCTTTACCTAGCATATAACCTGACTTCCAATGTCAGACATTTTGGAACTTAATGGAAGCCCTGAGCAAATTTTAGTATTCTAAGACATTGCTTTATGATTACTTTTTTTTTATTTATCTGAAACATTGTGTTTATATAAGCAAATTTTAGTTATATCTAGGTTGGGAGGCAGACACCTTACCCATTAGTCCAGTAGTCCCCATTAATTGAATTGTAAACTGTCAATTACATTGTAATAACTTAATTAATAGCATGTCTATATAAAGCCTTTTGTGTGTGTGAAGTAAAAAGTTGCCCCACACTTCACTGCAGTGTTGTTATATTTTTCTGGTCCTTTGGGATCATTGATTCCAGCACTTTCAAGGGTTGAAAATTGAGTACGGCTCAAGGTGCTAGGTGGTGTGAGGGATGTTGCACTTTTTTTTATTATCCTTCATGTACAGGCTAAATCAATTAAAGTCTGCAATTTTCATGTACTTCTGCTGTTTTTATTGCTTCTGAGGGATCACTTATTTTCTTTTTTCAAGATATTAATTAGAAAAGAAGTTAAATATCATAATATCATCAATTTTAACACTAGATGAAAAATTAACAAGGCATTGGTCAAAAGGATAGAGTTTTACTGGCAGAAAAAAACTACATTTAACAATATTAAGCTACTTTAACATAATACATGTAAATATTTGAAATACTATTTAATTATCATAAAGTTTTTTGTTTTATTTTGAGCATGATACACTTACGAGGTTAAAGGAGAGGATATATATACGTTTCTATCACACTGTAATACTGAATCCTTTCACACGCGCACATAGGCACTTCTGCACATACACACACATACATGTGCGCGCACAAACGCGCACACACACACAAGAATGTCTTAATAACTAACACTATAATAGAAGTAGGCTACACAAAACAATCTCTAGATAATCACACATATATGAAAATCATACTTTTTTTTTATACGAATTTTGACAAAACTCATGAGGCAATCAAATTCTTTTGAATTGAGGGTAGGGGGGCATATTGGGGTCAGACTCCCTATATTGCACACTACATGTATTATCATCATTATTATCATTAATACTATATTTATTTACATTAACACTTAATCTGCTCTAAAATTTCTAAATTGGACATGTCTAGCTTTCATATTTGGAACAATCCCATTTTAAATTTTTGGGATATCTAGATGGAAATGTACAGTGAAGTCCACCAGCAGCATAAAGCCTGGTCAGACTACACGGATGTTAAGGGCGACCTGTATCTATACTGGCGGGAAAGGCATTACATTTTTTCCCCAACAGGTTAAGGGTCAAGTTAGTACAAAAAGCTATTGAAAACTGTTCCCATGAAATGTATAAACACATATGAACATTTTCGTTTTTTTTTTAAATGAAATAAAACGAACATTCATTAACATACAAGAAAAGGTTTTACATATATAAACTTTACCAATAAGTTAATTTTTAGGCAGTAAAATATAAAGGGTTGTTAATAAATCTATATTTAGATTTAAATATACTTATACACCTGACTCCATACACCTTCATCAAATTAACAATGTCTTTACAATTAAATGGAATATTTCTTAAATATTCATACAGTAAATGAACACATTTATTGACCTCCAATTTTAATTCAATCCTTCATAAATTTATACAGTACAGTCAAACCAGTGTTACAGACCACCTCCAAATAAAAACCATCCTGTAAATAAATAAGGCCAATTTGTGATAACCCCCATTGATTATATAGAACAGACAAACCTCCAGATAAAGACCACATGTCTATAAAGGCCATGTTCAGTCTCTCCCTTAGGGTGGCTGTTATTCACAGAGTTGACTGTAATTTGTTTTATGCATGACTGATTACGGGTAATGACCACATTTATATACATGTAAAGCAGAAATGATATGGCGCAGGTTTAATTAAAGTAAGAATCTGACAAAACAGACTCCATAATTATACGTATTTTAACAAAATGTTGCTGTTCGGATTGAAATTTACGATATTTACCAACATTTTATCAGACTAGTTGTGAATGAGAAAAACACTTAATAACTTGATGTTCAAATTCATGAATATATAAGTATATTTTAACTTTAACTGAAACTCCGCCCATATTTTGTTAACCATGTACAAATTCATGAATTTATATTGAACTTTTACTTAAACTCCTCCCATATTTTTTTAACTAATAAAATGATACACATTTTCATTCATCATTTCTAAAATCAAGGCTAACAAGCTAAAATTTTTAAATTTAAATTATTAATAAAAAACAATTTTGGTTTATATTCTAGATGTTACAATTTTATTGTTTTTGTAATTTTTTCAGAAAAATTTTGCCCCCCAAAAATATACTAAAAAAGGGAAATTTGAAAAAAAACAACTTTTTTTAATTAACAAAAAATTTTTAAACAAAAATTCGTAACTAAAAAAAAAAGGGTTTATAACTTTGGCCCCAAATGTTGTATGAAGAAAAACAACAACATATAAAGATAACATAATGTGTAGCACCTTTCACACAATAATGCCAGGTAAGTTCGCATTTATTATTATGCTATTTTTCTAAGATATAACTTATTACAAAAGAAACCACAATATCACCTCATGTATTTTTCACTATATCATCATCAAGAATTTAACACATTCAATATGATATGTTTAAATGACTACTTAAAATTTTTCTTTCTCATTTTTTGTAAAAAATGGGTTTAGTTAAAATAGAAAAAAAAAAAAAATGAAAATACAAAATATTGGAAATGTTGCATAGAGTTTTATCAGTAATAATTACACAAACGTGCTGTGCAAGATAACCATATTTTATCATTACAATGTAATTAAAACTGTTCTTGAAGGTACAATAATGATCAAATACATCAAGTTAACACATGCTTTTGCATACAATATTATTACCTAAATTAATAAATTTAGTATTGTACATTTCTCCTTTTTAAGTGGATCATGGAAAACAAATCAACTATTTAAAAAAATTTCAATGAATCTTCAGTAAAATCGAGCATAGTCTTATGGGTGAGTTGTTAAAAAAAAAAAAAGGGACCCCGAACTTTTAAACCTTTTCTTATAGCCGAGTTATTTTCAAAATTTATTTCCACCCCTTAAACAAAAGGCAAAAGTGTTTTATGGGCACGGACAAAAAAAGCCCATTACACCCAAAAATGCCTACTTTACCAAAAAGAGCCCAACTTATTGGTGATTGTAGTACTTTATTGTTAGTCAAGAAAATAAAAAAAAAAATCTTATTCTCAGGTGTTCAAGAGTATAGAATATCATAAAATATCAAATTTGGTGTTCTTCAATCTAAGATTTTTCGTGCAAGAAATTAAGAAACTCATTATATGCTTCTTCCATACCAATAACTTATTTAATTAACTTGTTTAATTAATTAACAACAAACAGTACACAAATTTCTTTTCTTAAATATATATAAGTGTAATAACTTGCATGATGCAATTTTTGGGGAAAAAAAATTTTTTTTGAACAAGCTTTACAAACAAGCGTTTATGACACTTTTTGGCTGTCATGCATTTTTCAACAAAAACACACTTATTTAAGAGCTTAATGAAATTTTGTTATACTTACTTTATATATAAGATATGACAGAATCATAATAAGCTGTGCATATGACAGTTAAAAATTCTTATGAAACTGACATATACAATCATGATTATTGCCTATGTAATTTAACAACTCATACCATAGTAACAGTTTCTATTAAAGAACCAATTTATTTCAAGAAAATCAGTCTTGAGAAATTTTAAGAAAAGTAAAATATTTAAAATTCAAGGAATTTTTTACATATTATATGCAACTAGTAACTGATTTTGAAAGTATTTATCACCATATGTGTGACTAAAGCAATGAGGGTTTTTTTTTTCTTGCTTATTCTGACATATTTTTGGTATATTTTCACAGGTTTTATTAGTGCCTCTTGAAACATGTAAATCACTTTCTTTGTTTATTTGACTATAATTTACTTTATAAAACATTTAAAAAAATTTACATAAAAATTAACATAAATCTGGATGCATGCTGCATTAAAACAATGTATCTTTTTCATTTCCTTTTTTTTCTATAAATCAAACATAACTTGTATAATTTTTGTTCATAACTCATATAGTAGGAAAAAAGAATAAGTTTACATCTGTACGTTAAACATGTATACAAAATATCAAGCATTGTTCTTCATTGAAAAATGTCTGTAACATTAAACATCATGGAATGAAAGCACAGAAAAGTAGAAAATAACGAGGCAAGTTTTTAAGTTTTTTTGCTGCACTAGTTCTCAGACACTGTCGGTACAATCAGTTGTAAACTTTTTGCCGTTCCAAACGCTCTTGAATTGTTCTGGTAGAGGGAATTCCACCTGGTGAAAAAAACAAATGAAAATATCATGACATTTGCACATACAAACTACTTTAAGTGGAGTAAAGGGAAAGAACTATGTTATCAAAGTATAATACAATTGTAAAAAGAGTTTTTTCCCTTCTTCCAGATTTTTTTTTTTTTTTTTTTTTTTTTTTTTGATGCATAATCCATTGCAGTTTACCATATTTTTTATGTGAGACAATGGACCTCTGCTTTTAAACCAGTCACGCAAGTTCAACAATTTTAGGAAATTTTCATCAAGGCCTGCTACATAAAATTAAATATGAAGCTAAATATAACTTGCAAAACTGTTAACATGTGACTCAAAAGTTGTGTTTAATCCTAAGAACTGAACTGCGTGTAATCAAATATAAGTATGTCACTGTTCAGAACTGTTCACTATATAGGGAGAAGATTTGTAAATGGCCTGAAAGCTCAATCGATAGAGACGCGGAATGGTATTCAGAAAGTCCAAGGTTTGAGTCCTGGTCAGACTGCATATATTTCTCACCGTGACATATGGCGCAAAACGGGGCAATGTGACAGCATATAGTCCAGAGTTTAATTCACATTGCTCTGTAATCCTAAGAAATTTGAGGCAGAATTTCAATAAAGCAGGGGAGTATGACACTGTTTAGAATTGTTCACAATATAGGGAGAACCCTGTAACGGTATTCCGAGTGTCGTTGGTTCGTTTCCCGGTCAGACTGTACATTGAATTGATAAGAAACAAGTTTTAACTAGGACATTATGTTACTGGACAAGCAAATGTTGATTATACTAATGTGTCTTATATCGACTTCCTAGTTGAAAGTGCAGGCCATGTTAAAAATAAGATATTATAGGACAACCAAATACATACATTAATGAAACTTATATTTACTTCCAAATCAGCAAGTACATAGCCACAACAATCAGCATGACAAAATGGCAGAGCGTGCCCCGAACTTGATGAGAAAAAACAATTGCTTGCCCCATTATATTGTTTTCCAGGTTTAAATTTATCAATAACCTTTTTTTTGGTTCGGTTTTGTCAAACCAACACAGTATTGGTCATATGTCTCTCCAGCTTTACTGGTGGAGGAATACCTAAAGTTCTGTAAGCTAGCTTCCTCACATGAAAGTATCCAAAGTCTCTGTCGGGATTTGAACCCAAAGCAGTGAGTGGCAAGTGGTTCAAAGTCAATGACCTTAACCACTTGGCCATGGATGTCCCAATCTATAATCTAATTGCATAAAATACTCACAAAGTCACCATCCTCTTTTGGGACTAAGATATTCATCTCGGAAGATTTTGCTGTGACTATCTCAGCGTCTAGCGAGTCTTTACTGAGGTACATCATGCACCCATCGGTCTTGTCTATACTAACTGTAGGGCACTTTCCCATTACCTAAATACAAAATAATCATACAGTGTCAAGTAATGAAAATATTTAGAATAACATTCATAGTAATACAATATTCATTATTCTAAACGCTTCACTCTATTCCCTTATTGAACAGAGCACTCAAGTGCAATTATTACACGATATATGCACAGCATAAAAAAGAATGCTCATACTTCATATGACAGTTTATGTCAGTGACCTTAAAGAAACTGCCACGGAGGCCTCGAGTACATTATAGTATACAGCTTAAATCTATATGCTGAACCTGAAGTCACATTTAAAGCAGCAGGCCCCCAGATTCATGCTAATTTTCATAAAAATTTTGAAAATATATTTAAAAGTATAATGTTGTGAAGTGAACAAAGAAAGAAATTTACACATTGCAAATGGTACTTACAATCCACAATACATTTAAACTGTAGTTTTAATTGGCAAGGTGGCTAGCGATATTCCACAAGTTTTATTTTTATTAAATGATTGGATATTTTTTTAACAGCTTCTATACCTGTATTAAGAGTTAATATTATATCTTGTAAAATAAATGTATCAACAGTTTACCTGTGCCTGCACACTCTGTGAGTTGACAAATTCTACTGAAGATACTACACTGTCAAAAGCAACTGCTACCTTTTTACAACTATCTGTAGACAGAAAAAAAAATCATTTTTATTCAACATTATTGTTAATAAGAATATTTGTCTGTTAACATCACAGTCAGCTGATGATATGTTGACATGGGATAACATTAAAATGTTCCAAGATGCCTAGGATGGGTATTTTATGCCATAATCATTCATATTTGACCTGGTATCACAAGTAACACGTGCCTGACCAGGAACAACTCATGTGGCTGACCAGGAATTACTTATGAGCCTGACCCAGAATCACTCATATGTCTGACCTGGAATTACTCATGTGCCTGACCCAGAATCACTCATGTGTTTGACCTAGAATAACTCATGTGCCTCACATGGAATTGAACCATAACAGCCAAGCGAGGCACTCCTAAGACAACTTTCCTATTGGTCAATGTCCTTCCAACTAACAGTTAAGCTAAGCTGTTCAACTTAAACAGTTTTATCCTCCATAAGAATCTCTTTAGATAACATATGCATGATCAAACTTATATTCTGTTAGCTGATTAATATTAAAGCTTTATTCTGAAATCCCTCTAACTCGCAATGGAATGCACCAAACTCAAAGCAGGGCAAATCCATTACACAAATTAACGGGGGTAAAATGGTTTAAAACCACTACTTACCTACAATGATTGCTTAATTCTGTTATCCCTCTAACCTACAATGGAATGCACCAAACTCAAAGCAGGGCCAAGTTCATTATACAAATTCAGGGGGGGGGGGTAAAAAGGTTTAAAACCATTACTTACCTACAATGATTGCTTAATTCTGTTATCCCTCTAAATTCAGGGGGGGGGGGGGGTAAAAAGGTTTAAAACCATTACTTACCTGCAATGATTGCTTAATTCTGTTATCCCTCTAACTCACAATGGAATGTGCCAAACTCAAAGCAGGGCAAGTCCAAAAGGTTTAAAACCATAACTTACCTAAAATAATGGAGTTGACTTTTCCTTTTACTTGTACTGTACTATCCTGACATTTAAAGATATACACTGCTTGCTTAATGTTTGTATCTTCGATGATTAGTGACTTATTTCCCACTTGATATTCCTGTAAATAAACAAAACAATGAAGTTCACTCTTTTTACTTTTCATTTGTACTGTGCTATTATAACAAATTTATTTTAGTTTAACTGTGTTGGAAGCTATAAGCTTATTTAAACACTCTCGAATCCGTTCCTGGAACCAACAAGTACTAAGCTATGAATGTAAATATCTCAACATTTAAAGCAGCATTCAGTTTTTTTATTTTCTGTTTAGAAAAACAATAATGTGTTATTTCAAACAAAGTATTTCAGTAATTTTATCTCGGAAAAGAGCAACACATCACTGTTAATTAAGCCTTCTTCATAACAGCGTCCTGGGAGCTATTTATAACGAGTAATGACATTCATGTCTAAAATCGGAAAATGAATCATCCACTTACTATTTAACATATACAGAGCAGACCTATCTTAGCTATATTAGAGGTATCTTTATTGTATATGTATTTTATTGTTGTCAAATTTCTTTTCCACATTCATTCTTTTGATTTGACAAATGATTTGTTTGTTTGTTTGTTTGTTTTGGGTTTTACGTCACATCCACACAGTATAGGTCATATCGCGACGTTCCAGCTTTACTGGTGGAGGAAGACCTCAGGTGCCCTTCCGTGCATTATTTCAGGCACGAATGGGTACCTGAGTAGAACCACCGACGTTCCGTAAGCTAGCTGGATAGCTTCCTCGCATGAAAGAATCTTAAGTCCCTGTCAGGATTCGAACCCACAGAGGTGAGGGGCAAGTGGTTTGAAGTCAACGACCTTAACCACTCGGCCACGGACGCCCCCAGACATAACATATCGACATGCTAAATGTTAGCGTCACACTATAAGCATGCCAATGAAAAAGTTATTCATCTTAAATGTTAACAGTTCTATTTTGGATATGTGATAAACAGGGTACTATATTTGTGTAGCTTCTCACTAAATTTATTAAAACTCGTTGAATAAAATAATATTATGCTCGCTAGAGGCTCGCATAATACCATTTTATTCAACTTGTTCGATAAATTCAGTATTGAACCTACACTCAATGTAATAACGTACCACTATCCACTTTTTGTCCTGGAGCTCAAACACTGGTGGTTTAGCGGCAGGAGCGGCTGTAGGTTTACTTCCTGGTTTCGGCGCTGTTTTAGGAGCAGTTGCCTTAAATGGAGCTGGACCGGCTCGAACCCCAGTGGAACTAGTAACTGTGCTTCCAGCTCGGAGGGCAGGGTTCTTGTGAGTCTTCATGTCATCAGAGACCTTCTTTAATCCTACGATTTAAAAAACCCAAAATCATTTTAATATTTCAATGTTAAAGATATATTATGCTCAAATTTGATATTTGAAAAAAATGACAGAAAGACAGAAAAGGTAGCGTTTCATTTGTATACCAAATATTATGAGGCTGTGATGTTATTAAAATTTTCTAACATTGACCATTAATGTCGAAAAACTGAAAGTGGATGTCAGGGACAAAATTTAAACCGAATCCCCTGGTATGGGACCATGTGTTGATGCTGTATAACCAAATATCAACAGATTGTGATAAGTAGTTACTGAGAAAACTGTTACGAAAATATTTTCTCTGTCTGACCACCGCCCGACATACATCATACGATAACCCGGGTTTGCACCTGTGCAACCTGGCCAAAAATGTAAAATTAACGTCTTTTAATTACACAGAGAAATTATGTTATGTTTTTAATTCTATGCACTACAGGTAATCACAGTATGATAACATTATTATAAAGTGTTATTTAAAAAAAACCTGGAAGTATTTATAAGAATAGACCAAATTATTTTGACAAGTAATAGGGAATCATAGTTTATACATTCACTTATTCAAGAAAGACTTATTCAGGAAGAATTTTCTAGATTTCCATAAACTTCTGCAAAAAATGCTTTTCAAAAATGAGCATTATATTTCTTTCTCCATAATTGATCAAGACATATAAACAACTAAACTAATCAGGTTTAAGAGTATAAATGGAATTTGAGTGAAATTAAACATATGACCAAGTTTAATTTTGCCAGATTCTTTTTGACTAGCATTTCTTCACTTCCCTAGACTGATTTGCATGGCAGCATATCAAATGTAAAGTTTCATATAAATTTAAACTCAACAAGAGTTGTCTGTAAGACAGCGCAATCAACTGTTCTAATTGTTCGACTGTAAGAAAAGAGGAATAACTCTGTAAAAGGATTACTCAGAGTTATGGGACCTGTGCCCATGTTGTTGAAAAATCACAGAGTTTCAACCCGTTCCCTTCAGCACTTTTAGAGATACCAACCTACACACAAAAACTTAACCAAAGTGTGAAGGTGATACCGACACAAGGGTGAGTACAATAGCTCTCCATGTTCTTCAAAAAAAGACAAGCTAAAAAGTTTCAGATCACAAGTTGTAAGTAATATACAAGTAATGTATAAATTAAGTCGAATTGCTATGCCACTGAAGTCTTAAAAAGTCTGAAAAATATTCATTAATTAAACATTCATGAAAAAAAAAGAAGAAGCAAAATCTAATATCTGGTATTCATCTTAAGTTACATACCAGATGATATGGCAGTTCCTCTGTTAATTTCTGCAAATAGAGCTGCATGAGTATCATCTCCTCCACCCCCACCAGAGGGCGCCGGTGCTGATGCGGGAGGTGGGGGTGGTGGGGCAGGTGGACCTGGGGGTGGGGGTGGTGCTCCACCGGCTGCAGGTTTGCTGGCAGCTGCTGCATCTCCTCCCTGAAACATAAAGAACGATAGTTAGATATACATAAGATACTAAAATAAAAATGTGTTAGAAAATTCATCATATAAAGATTTAGTACATATGTAGGCTAAATAGTTGACTAACTATCGTATTTAAGTATGACTTTTAATGAAGGCTAATCACCACTTTCTATATTACAAATGTAAGCTAACAAGACTAGTATTATACACAAAAGTACGCAAATATGTACTATACACAATTGCTGTGTATGCTAACATTATCCTATACACAAATGTTGTGTAAACTATCAATGTACTATACCCAAATGACAAATGTTGTGTAACCTAACATGCACTATACCCAAACATTGTGTAACCTAACATGTACTATACCCAAATGTTGTGTAAACTAACATGTACTATTTGTTTCCTATACCAAACCAACATTTCAAAGTAATTTTTCACCTCTATGCATTATTACCTTTATTGATTGTGGCCAGAGGAGAGAACTAGAACATTAAGTTTCCTTAAGTCTATACAGAGTACTCGCCCCTTGGGAATATTGCAATAAATTACTGACCGGTTGATATTCATTTCCAGGATGATTGATCAAAATAACACCGTGTGACGTGACATTAATGCCCCTTGTATTTTGACCAAAAAAAGAAGAGTTAAAAAACGGCAAAATGATTACTGTTCCTTGCCTTACAACTGCACCTTGTCATGATAGGCAAGTATTTCAATCATGATGTCGATTAAAATCTTTCAATAATCGACAACTTAAAGTTTTTGCATGACCATTATGTCACATGGCAATTATATCTCGAATATTTCTTCCAAACAGACAAGCTTAAATTTGATGAAGTGTTAAAACCTACTGGTTCAAAACAAATGCAGTACCACTCAGCATATTCTTCAACATGAACAGAATTACAAAAGTGGTAGGTATTTACAAAGTGGAAAACACATGGATTGATAAGTGGCAAACACATATAATAACATGGAAAACACATACATTTAAGTAGTAATTTTCCATTATTAACTTTTTTCACAATTTTTCTTACATAAAAAGGTACTTATTCACTTCCCTATTTCCTGCTTTTACATCAGGACTCCTCGTAATAAATTATTTGTGTTAATCAACTATGTATCACAAAAAGGTAGCTGGAGACACCGAGCTTTTTTTTTACAATGTAACAAATATACAAGACAGCTATCTCTGTTACCATTGTGCATATTATTAGTTATAAAAGGTTTTCTAACAGGTTATATGGCCCTATAAAAATTATAAACGGTTGACTGGAAATAAGCAACTCGGGTTATATTGCAAAGAACCAATAAACTTCCTATTTTCAGAGAAAAAAGTGAGATTTCTTCATAAATGGAAAGTAGCCGTGTATATAAAACTATATATAAACGTCACAATTATCCAATGAAAAGTGACATTACAAATGTGCAGTACTATAATTATACACAATATATATATATATAATATATAAGTAAAACAGGCATTTGTCTCTCAGCTTAAAAATTAACATAACAGAAATCTTAAATATAGAAAACATTTGGTGGTGTTTGACCCGTAGGCGAAGGGATGCGAGCCAGATACTGGCATCCATTTATTCCAGTACTTGTAGTTATCGTAAAACACAACTTCTGTTAGATTATGTCATACAATAGTTTATGGAGAATGTTTAGGACCTGTGCTACCAATGTTAAGATAAGTGGAGATGACTTGCAGTTTATATTCTACAGAAAACAGATGGTATTGCAGAATAAAACACATTGTTCTGTCAAGACATTGTGAATTGCGCAAAACCCTTAGATATAATGAAACTTTTTTTTTCCTCTGTTGGTTTTCAGGCTTTGAAATCACACTGGCACACTTATGGTTTTGGTTTAGGGTTAAAGTCACACTTCGGCCTTTAATTAACACTTGCACAGTTATAGTTTGGTTTTTTAAAGTAATACTCAGGCACGGTATGGTTTGAGTTTTAAATCACATAGGCAAAGTTAAGCTACACAGGCACCAGAACAGTTATGGATAATGGTTTGGGGTTAAAAAATTTACACACACAGGCACTGTAAGTCACAACAGTATGTGCAATATAAGGTATCCATTATGATAACAAGATATTAGTGGAAAATAAATGCCATACAAGAAAATCAGTGGAAAATATATGCCACATTCTAGAATCAATAGAAAATAAATGCCTCAAAAAATAAATCAATAGAAAATATACGCCACAGAACCAAATCAATGGAAAATATCGATATGCCACAGAACAAAATCAATTGAAAATATATATATGCCACACAAGGCAACTAATATATTAATGAAAATTATATGCCACAAATAAGATCAATGAAAATATTTGTCTTACAAGGGAATGGGAGGAAAATATATGCTACACAAGGGAATCAAATGTATGCTCATTGTAACTTAAAGGCCCCTTCCTGTTCATATTGTTCCTAATATCATAAAGATGATATGATGCATGTGTTGTCACCCAAGTGCAGTAACAGGTTAACTCCTTGTATAATTTAATCAGAGTTAACCCATTACTGCATTAAGGTCATCATATGCACACAAGAAACATAACTTGTAATTTTTAAAACATTTTTGCTATTTCTAGCAAATTTAATTTTTCTAACAAAGTGCACTTGGTACAAATCATTTTTCTGACTTACTAGAGAAGATACAGGCTAAATAGTATTTGTGTCTAAACATTACTTTTCTTAGATTACACAAAAAACTTATGATATCCCCAAATACATGCCAACATCCATTAATCTTTGCTTTTCTCCTGCAGTTCCTGACAAACACAATTCACTGTTACAAATCATAACACTGGCAGTCATATTGTTTCTCTCCTACAGTAACCTGCCCTCTGATTGGCTAATACAGCATCTGTCAATCAATTTGATTGGCAGACTTGGCACACGCTCAGTGGGAAGCTAAGTTATCACAGATGTTATCATGGCTTATTGTACAGGTAATAATTGAAAGTGTGGTAGTCCCACTACGCCAGATTCCTAAAATTTGTGCACCCACACTTTCTCATTATCTGTCCTTTATATTACAAAGTGGCACTCCGCAGGGGAAAATATAGAAAACCGAAATTCTGTAATGACAAATTTGTCTATTATTAACCATGGGAGAAAAAAAGTTTCAAATTTCTATTTAAAAAGATTGAAGACTGACAATTATGATTATAATAAACAAAAGAAAAATAAGTTAAAAATACAGTTTTCCAAGAGTTTACTCAGTGAAACCCTATTTCAATAAAATAATGAAATAAAAATCTTGGAAGGGTTCTTAAAAACAAAATTATGGTACTTATCAAGCAAATAGCTTAAACTGTCATCACAAGTGCTTCATTATGTAACAGTCACTCAGTCAGTGCTCTAGGACTGATCCTATTCCAGTTCTCTCAAACAATCATTATAAATGTTAAGGGTTTTTAATATCAAACTACATAATAGAGCAGTCAACAGAGTATGAGCTGCAAAACTGAGTAGTGGCTGCTGCAAATTAAGTAGTGGCTGCAATCTGAGTAGTGGCTGCAAACCAAGTAGTGGCAGCAAACTGAAAAGTGGCTGCAAACCGAGTAGTGGCAGCAAAACAAGTGGTGGCTGCAAACTGAAAAGTGGCTGCAAACAGATTAGTGTCTTAAAACAGACTAATAGCCGAAACAGCAAAGTGGCTGCTAGTAGCTGCTGACAGAGTAGTGGCTGTTGCAAACAGAGTAGTGGCAGCAAACCAAGAAGTGGCAGTAAACCGAATAGTGTCTGCGAACAGAGTAGTGGCTGCTGCAAACAGAGTAGTGGCAGCAAACCAAGTAAAAGCAGCAAACAGATTAATAGCTGCAACAGAGAATCAGTTGCAAAACTAGTAAAGACTGCTGCAAACCAAGAAGGGGCTGCTGCAAAGAGAGTAAGTTGCTGCAAAACAAGTGAAGGCTGCAGGCAGAGTAGTAGTCCGAAATAAGGGTATTCTGTTTCTTGTATTCTACCATAATAGTTACACACATTCCCAGTTATTACAAACCAATAAACAATCGATTCATGTGTTCATGTTGCCATCGAAATATTTAAAAAAAATATCACAATTTAAGTGCTAAACACTTGAATTTCAATATACAATAAAGAATAAAGAAGAAAAACTTGCAAAAAATTAAGCCTAAAAAAAATGCCCAAAAAACCCTGATCCACCAAAAAAAAATCCCTGTTATCATTAGCCATGCAGTAATAAGTCATGTCATGTCTTCAATTGCCATAGATTATCATGAAAACAAGGTACAAAATGGGAAACTAAATGGCCATTTCATGCCCCCTTATCTCTTCTAGCTCTCCACTTACTCTATCCCAGGCTTGTAATTTGATGTTAACAGCCATATTGTACATGATAAGATGGTCAAGTTTTTATGTTGTTAGTAAATACTCTACATTGTCGGAAAGTCTCTGGAAATCTGAACAAACAGATTCCCAACAGGCTACTGTAATGAAACATTTTGCCAATGTAATGTGATTGTATGAATTCCTCATAAACATGCCCTTAACATTTTGCCCATGTAGCTTAATTCGTAATTCACAAGTTCATAATAAACATGACCTTGACCTTAATGGTATTTAGTACTATAAGATGGGACTGTCATAGGTAGCAAATTTTGTATCGTTTACATCCAAAGCTGAATACTGAATATTAAATCCAGTGTTCAAACTAGGACTTTTTCCCTTTTTACAAAGTTACAAATAAGAGTGATATTTTCACAAGACATGAAGAAATTGGCAATAAATTGTATCCATATACAATATTGAGAATTGATATTGTATCGATTGTTAAGTGTCCATGATATATCAATATCATGATTTTCATTTACAGCCGAACAGTAAGAAATTGTAAGTATTGCTTATGAATTGTCCATGCAGGCACCCTGCCTTATCAGCATTTAATCTTCAGGGCTGTATGTCATAGAATGTCCCAAGTCTGAAATCAGTCTTTAAAAGACCAAAACTGAGACAATTTTGCA